GAGTCTTTTGATGGCTCCTTTGTGGATGACCATAGACCATCCAAATTGGATGACTGCTTACTGATATAACACTCTTTTGTTGGGTAAGTCTGGTTTCACATTGGAATGTCAAGTCTGGCCTCTCTTTTTTATATAAGTTTTACAGGTGTCGAACCGTTTTGGAGCCATTGGCTCCTCTAATGTTCCACGATAGTATAATCATGTAGAAATATATGATACACAGAGGAAAGCAGAGATTATATTGATAAGTGAGAGGAAATATTGATAGTCATACCTACTACAAGTATGGGGCAGTGTTGTGAGCAGAGTAGATCAGGCTCTAATTGAGAAGGGAAGCCATCAGGTCAGCCATGTATTGGTCCATCTGAGTATTGCCAAAGTGTGAGGTGGGTTGCATTAGAAGAGATGCTACAGAGTTACTGCGGTCCATCTGAAAATTTGCCACCTGGTCCAATATAAAGATGTCTCTAAGTCTTGAGTTTGAGGCTGGTTGCCGAACTCAGTGTTAGGAGCTGTGTGATCTATAGATTCCAGTCACTAGAAGGATTAATGCATCTGCGCCTTGTGGGGATTTCGATCTTCGTCCTCCGATGGACCAGTAAACAACTGCCCTACGGCTAGTTTAAAAAAAAAAAAAATCGAAAGTATTTCTTACAGGAGGCTTTTTAAAAAATAATAATAAAAACCCTTGCACTATTAGGGTTTCAACTCTATTGACTTATCATTATGACGGGTTCGACTATGATTGTAATATTCCCTGATTTTTCATAATTGATAATATTTGGTAGTATTTTTCAGCAATTGAACGCTGTAATATTTTAATGTCCCTGATTTATCGTAGCACTGAAAAGTATAATTGTGTTTTAATGTCTTCAGCCATTCAATAATTTTAATACCTTTTAACTCTTAACTACTAAATTTAATTTAAAAATTAGAATTTTCGGCAATACTGAGAATTATAATATTACTTAAGATGATTGTTGAATTCTCGAAACAAAAATAACTAAAATCTTGAAATTGCTGACAGCTACCAAGTTCACTTTTTTTGAAATCTGGAAATTGCGAAGACGCAAATAATTATTAAAAAAAGAGATAATTGTGTCAAAATACCACTTGAATTTTCAGAATTAATGGGTTTTGGCATCCATTTGATCTTATTATTAGATTTCGAAACTTCATTTTATCCATACAATCTAGTGAAATTGCCGTTGATATTATTCTGTTCTATTTATGTAATCAAGTGAAATACCTATCCAACCTTATTGTTCGATTCTGAAATAATTTGGTGAAGCTCTTGTTTGTTAGACTCTAAAAAGTTGTTTTACCTATTTGATTATTTTGCTTATTAATATTTAAATTATGATCCAATATTGTGATCTGTTAATATTTAGTCTTTCAAATTTTTGTTGATAATCTGCCCAAAATTAGTGATTCTATACCATTATCCGCTTGTGACTCTAATGGGTGGGTCTCCGACTTTGGCTAATTTAAAGCCAAACTATTAATTCAATCAACGGAGTTAGTGCACTCTATTGATACATGCTCTTATGTACTTTGTTTTGAACATAAATTATCATTATTTTTTGGCCATTGTAACCATATATGTATGTATGTATGTATTATCATTTTTACCCTAATATTCCAATCTAAGGTTAAATATATCAAACCGCTTGAATGGTTCAACCTGGACGATCGAACTGCTGACCCAAAAGCCAATGGTCAAAGTGGTTTCATTTCTGGGTTGGTTTTTGAAACCTTGGGTTTAGGGCCCATCGCATCACAAGAGTACAAATGCATGCCAAGTCAGTATAGGGCTGAGGTGAATTGAAGATTGATAGGTAGCACGTCTTCACAATTTTGATTGGCCACTTCATCTTCTACACTTCATTAAGAGGATAGGCATGCATGAAACATGCTTAACGAGTACTGATTGATAACCAAAAACTTTCTCGCTTTTATCCTCTTTTGGGCTATTGGAATTTGGAAACATTTTTAAACCTTTTTTTTACTATTTTTACTTTTTTATACATTAACAAAGAGGTCAATCGAATATTAAATTCTCTATGTAAATTAAAGTACCAATTAATAATTTATAAAATGTATAGTCTCAACTTAAAATATATCAAATCTATTAAAATTTCTAACATATCATATGCAAATTCATGATTTTTAACTACTAAAATGATTATTCCATTGTTGTATTTTATTTCTATAATTTTCTAAAATTAAAAATCTTTTTTGGTATAAATGTAGATTAATAAATTTGATAGATTCAATTTAATATTATATTCTTGAATATTTTATAAACATTTTTTGTTTTTTTTGTAAATAATAAATACCATGTTATTTAATGTAAACTAAAATATTAATTAATAATTTTAAAAATAAAAAAAAATTTAAATAAGTTTCATGTGTAAATTTATAAATTTTAAGTACTAAAATAGTTATTCTATTATTAATATTATATTTGTATAGCTTTCTTGAGATTCAAATAATCTTTTGATATAAAAGTCGATTTGATATATTATTTATTCCATTATTTTATAAAATGCTAATTTTGAATATTATTTATATCAAATCTATTAAAATTTCTAAAGTACATATCATATGCAAATTCATAATTTTTAATTACTAAAATGATTATTTCATTATTAATATTTTTATTTCTATAATTTTTTAAAGTTAAATGAATATAGATTAGTAGATAGATTCAATTTAATATTATATTCTTGAATATTTTGTAAATAATTGTTTTATTTTCTAAATAAGAAACATGATTTTATTTAACATAAATTAATATATATATATATATTAAGTACTAAAATAATTATTCTCTTATTAATATTATATTTGTATAAATTTTTTGAGATTCAAATAATATTTTGATACAAATATGGATTTGATATATTATTTATTCTATGAATAAGTAGGTGGGAGGCACCGATTCTGAAATACTAATTCATTTCTGTTTTTGTTTTTCTTTGCCAAAGAATAAAACAACATTTTTCATGTGTCATTGGTTTCATAGAGCTGAACTTGCTATACAAATTTGACCACCACTCCTGAACCGATAAATCATTATCCCCAGGCCCCATAATGCTATCATTTACAATCCTCCAAACTTGTTTGGCAAAAGAACAATTTTTAAAAAACAACAATTCCGACACCCCTAGCCATCAGTAAAGATTTAGTGGGCAGTCTATTTTGTGATACACCCGAATCCCCCACAGGGGTCGTTGGAATAGCAAAACTTAAAGGTGTAAAGTGGGTCGTAATGTGTCATGTCGGTATACCATGATTTTGCGGGCCAGGTCATGCCAGTATGAGGGCCTAACTGGGTCGTGCTCCCCTGGCCGAGAACCCTTAAAAGGTTAGGCCTGGCACAGCCCATGGCACTAGGCCAGGTTGGGTCATGAGAGTCATATTTAAAAAAAAAATGAAAAAAAAATATTAAAATTTTAAAATAAATTAACAAAATAGACAAGAAACTGAAAAAAAAATATATATATATATATATCTTAAAATTTTATTCTATATGAATTTTGATGTATACAATTGTTTATATATAAAATAATAAAATTAAATTAAAAAATTACAATACAATTGAAATAAAAAAGTATAATAAAATTAATATATATGGGCCAAACCACGGGCCCATGCCGGCCCACAGTCCTCAAAATCCAAACCCAACACGGCCCGGGGGCATGGGCCGGACCACAACACAGCCTAGTTGCTACAATGACAGATCAGGCCCAGCACGGCCCACTTTACAGCACTAAGTGCAAGCGCCACACTAATAACCCCCTCCCCAAAGTGAGTTTTACTTAGCTCCTCAAAGAAAGGACTCTTTCGACCTAAAACCATTTCTTATTGGCCTACATCAATTTTATTGCCACGTCAGATAGTAAGAAGACAGAGATATAATGCTTCTATAAACGGACGTAACTTATGGATGCCGTTAAGTTGGTTCTCTTTTTAATTTCTATTTCTAAATAAAACCCTAAAAACAATCTCACTCTCCAAATTGAAGTATTATCTACCGACTTACAGAATTGAAGAAAAAATAAAGCATTTGCAGAGTTGCAGGGATGCAAATAAGATCAAAGATAAAAGCCACTAATCGTTTTTTCACTGGGGACCAAGAAGTTCAAGATTTGAAACTATTTTCTATTTTCTGGTAAAAATAAATAAAAAAAGATACAGCAATAATAAAGATAAAAGTCACTTACCGGTTTTTCACCGGAAACCAAGAAGATGGCAGATGGTGTGCATGGATTCTAGAGGATAAAATTTGGTTTGGAAAGAAGTGAAAACTGGACAATGGGTTTTATATTTAAGGTTTTTTCACCAGAGACCAAGAAAATGACTAATGGATTCTAGAGGATGAAATCTAGTATTCTGGTTTGCAAAGAAGTAAAAACTGGAAAGTAGGCTTTTGTCTTACTATTTTTAAAGCTTAGTTTAAAAATTACAAAAGCAACCTAATGTCGTTTGTACAATTCAGTCAGTTTACAAGCAGTTGTATCTATTTTCATTAAGGGTTCGACTATGATATGGAAAAGATATGATATGGGAAAAACAACTAACCAATAAACTGAAATTACAAACGTGGTAGCAAATAAGGTGTTATTTATCAAAATTCATGGGTGGATTTTGATCGGTCAAAACTCTTTCCATTTCATACCTTCTTCTGCATCATAGATTTTCCATTTCATTAATACTTACTAGAAGTGACGTGGGCCAATAATAAACAAACTTTCCTAAAGTACGACCCATTAAGTTGTTCTTGTTCCAAAGTGGACAGTTTATAGTGATACAGTGTAGACTATAGAGTAGACATGGGACTCGAAATGAAAATCCATAAAAGGCCTTGATTACGATTTGGATCGAACAACTTTACATCCAGCCTTTGTTGTTATTGGACAATCAACAATCAATATAATTAGACAATCCAATCATGCTAGCAAGGCAGTGTAGATCGAATAACTTTACATCCCATAGAAGATAAAACGGCCAGTGTCTGCCGTTCTTCAATTGCGCATTTGTATTTATCTTAAAAATATAATTCATACCAATAAGTCAAGGAAAACTCGCTGGGTAAAATTTTGAATGAAAACAAATCAAATTTTAAACAAGGGAAAACTCACCCAGTAAAATTTTAAATGAAGACAAATCAAATTTTAAACAAAGATAATAAAAGGGCAAAAATGTGAAGCCGGTGAAAGAAAAGAAAAGAAAAGAAAACCCTCTCTCAATCCACTAAAGTCCTCATCTCATAACTTTCTGCCTTTGATGCTCACCATCCTCTTTCATGGAATCACCACCAAAACCAACCCTGCTATTTTCTTCAACTCAAAACACCATCGGTTCATCATAGCCAAAGTCGGCTTGCAACTCACAATTTCCTAAAAAAATTAACAATGGTTGAAAATCCCTCTCTCTTCATGAGCAAATCAGTCATTCATGGCAGTTGCCTGCTTTGCACCAACTGCAAAGAATTCTGTAATGACTTCCAGAGGCATACCCTTTGTTTCAGGAACCTTTAAGAAGACAAACACCAATGCAATGCAGCATACAGCAGAATAGATTCCAAAGACACCAGAGAGACCAATGGAATTAAGCATCATAGGGAGTGAGTAGGTGACAATAATGTCCCCAGTCCAGAATACAAGGGCACAGATGGCAATACACAGACCACGAACCCGTGTAGGAAAGATCTCTGAACAGAGGATATTGGGAATTGGCCCAAAACCCATGACAAAGCAGCAGAAGTATACCAATACACTAGCAGTTGAGAGTACAGCATGAACTACAGAACTCATAGTCAAAGCATTGCTAATGACTAGAACCACTAGAGAGACTATCAGGATAGGGATTGTTGAAAGCAGCAGCGACCTGCAATAAGGGAACAAAATGGGAAGAGGAAAAGAAAACAATTAGCAAGAGCAGTTTATCAAACTTTAAAAGAAATTGCAAGTATCCTTTTGTTTCAGAAGAGATTGAAAGAAACCATCAAATATTTCCTTGATTTGCACATCCCAAGTGTTCAGAGATGATGCAAATCTTACAAGCATATATATCAGGAGAACTTACAACATATTGTAAGCTCTATATTTAAATTGTTTAATAGATTAATGAGAACACACGAAACTCCTAACATAATTTAACCATATTTCCCAAGTGGCTCAACCACCAGAATTAATTTTAACTATATTTTGGGATATTAAAGATTCTATCAGTCTTGAAAGTCGGCCTCCAACCAAGCCAATGCAGTAAAAATGTTTTTGACACCATCGTGCATTGAACTCTCCCAAGTTCTTTTTTGATAGATTGAACTCTCCCAAGTATTGAACTCTCAAGCCCCGTTCGCTTTTCGGTAAGTCACTTACCCGGGCAAATGCAGTTACCTGGGTAACAATTACCCATGTTCTTTTATTTCTCATGTAAATAAGGTGTGGGGGGCTCTAGTTACAGAGATTCAAGGGTATTAAACAGATTAATGTACTTACTACAGGTTCTTGTACCTCTACAGAAAGTTGGAACATGCACCCGAATACCCATGAATTCCAGGACTCGCAAAATCAAATGTGTTCTCTTGGTTCCATTTATATTCAATGGATTCTTAAACTGCAGGTCACTTTTTGCATCTTTTTTAACTTGAAACAGGTATTCCTAAATGGCTAAATCATAAGTCTCAATCACAAGTTAGCTAAGCATGGGAGATATTCATTTCTTTAGCCTCAGCTGGATTCGGTCAGCCAATTCAATGTTTTCAGATCCTTGGCTCAACTGAACAAACCCAATGAGCCAATGAATGCTTATAAAAGACTATTTCAGTGCACACTACCATTTTATGCATCTTTTTTACACTTAATAAACAGATATTTCCTAAAGGCTCCATTTGTTTGCATTACAAATTTAAGTTGCACTGGTGTGAATGCATGGGAGGGAGTGCAAATGGGCTGACTGTACATTCTGTTTTTTTATAATAAAAAGAAATAAATTAAAGGAATATATTAAACAAAAAAAATATAAGAGGGAGGTGACAAGCAGTCACCCACAAGAAGGAAAAGAAAGACCTCAGAACTAAGAAGACTCTAAACAAGACTACAAAAGCCTCCCAATAAACACCCCATCCCTGACCCCCACAACTAAAGGCATCCAACCTCAACCAACAACATGAGGCAGGCAAAATGAATTGCGCAAACCTCCACTAATCCTCCCCCTCAAACACTTCATCACTCCCATCATACACTTCATCACTCCCATCATCTGCTTTGTTCCAGACCTCTCCTTCCCCCACACCAACTTTTTTCAATCTCTCCTCCCTCCTCCCAAACTCCTCAATGGCTCTTCAAGCAAATGCCTCACCTCCCAAAAGGAACAAACCAAGGCTTTTACCAATTTCAACATTTTTCTCAGCAATTTCAACATTCTCAAATCAGCTTCCTCCCCTTAAGGTTTGATTTTGTAAACTCTGATTTATTTTCACTTTAGGTTTCACTTTGTTTTCTTTGTTTTTGAGTAAAATCATTAGTGGAATGACGTGGTCCCACTTCATATGAAAGAAAATGAAGCAGGAAGAAGGTTGTTTTTTGGGGAGGAGAGAAATAGGAAGTAAAATGATATGGTCCCCTCTTTATATGAGAAAAAACTAAGGTAGAAGGAAGGTGGCACAAATTTGCATCAGTTTTGAGATTAAGGATGTCAATGGGATGGGTTCAGTATGTGTTCTGTGTAACCCAAACCCGACTATATGAATAGAACACAGAACCAGCCCCACCCTTCCCTGGCGGCAATACAAAGTAAATATGGTCAACTCCCGCAATACTTACAAATATCTCAATGCTACAATGTCAACCGGTCAGGTTTGGCACAAGTCCACCCAACCTGAGACCTGATTAAGGATGATCCAACTCTTGCCCAATAGAGACAGGTCAATGCAAGTTTACTACTTAATCCAAATCACTGACATCCCTATTTGGGGTGACAATTTGCACTGCAATGAGTGTCATGTGTCAATAAGACAAAAAGTGCAAATTTTGTATCACTGATAAAAAAAAAAGTGCAAATTTTGTATCACTGATAAAAAAAAAAGTGCAAATTTTGTATCAGCCTATCAGGTATTGGTGCAAATCACACTTACAACTAAACAGATCTAGATCCGAAACAAGTGCAAAATTTTTATCTGGCAGGAAAGCATAGGCAGTTGCTCATTTCTTTAGCCCTGCTGGATTCAGCTAGATTTCTTTTTTTTTTTTAATTGGTAAGAGTAGAAATCTTATTAATTATGGAATAGCATCTACCACATAAACCCTCCCCGTTCATTTTTACAAAGATTCAGCTAGACAATTCAAGATTGTCAGATACTTAAATTTGTTTCAAGTGAAGAAGGGCAACAGGTTACAGCATACTTACATTAAAGACTATTACAGTGCATAACTCACAACTAACCAGTATGATCTGACAGTTCATTTTAACAAGTTCCTTACAAGTTACAATTAGACATTAGATCAGACACCTTACAACCCACAAGTATTAGCTAAAATTTTAAATCTCAGTACAACATATATGTGAAAAAATAAGATTCAAGCATGCTAAGGGCATGGACATTAGAGTAAATAGACATCAAGCCCATAAAATTCTGTGGAGTGCCAGGAAAAAAAAGGCTAGCAGGTTTTATGAGGAACAGCAATAAATGATATTTTGAGCATTCAAAAAAGAAACTATTGTTGAGAACAAAAGAGGATAAAGATATTACCTTCTCCCAGCAATATCCATGAGCCTCATTGCAACAGCAATACAAGGAAGCATCAAGAGGGTAGTAAGTGCACTAATTAAGAAAGAGGCAGAATCTGAACCAATGCCCATGTTTGCAAGAAGCACCTCTACTCCTGCCTGTTCAAGAATCTGAGGGGTGTAGTAAAGAACGCCATTTATTCCAGCAAACTGCACAAACAACATACATGCATATAAACATATCAGATCACAAAAAGAAACAGTTACTGATTAAAAAGCATATAAACATGTCAGACAAAAAAAATAAGAAAATAAATAAATAGAATGCTGATAAAAAATGCAAATAAATAGAAGAATAACTTTAGCAATCACCATACAAGAAAACAACGCAAAAGTAACAGAATTTAACAAATCTAGATCCATTAGCATGGGAAGGGAACTAACACTTTCATCATGCTTCCATGACTGCCAAATCCCTTAGTACTGATAGAATTTCAATGAAGTAATTCAAACAAAAACAAATTAAGCAAGCTCAGAGAACAACAAACGAAACTCCCAAACTATGACAAAAAAGGATTTCTATGCTATTCCACAGAAAGTATAAATGGTTTAGATGGAGATATGCAGACTAAATCACATTTTGCCTCAACTGGATGATAATACTCTTATGACATCTAGAGCTTTCTGTTGTTAGCTAGGGGTGATTCATTTCTAGCCCACCTATATGCATGGCCCGACCTGGGCAGAAAATTTCTAGGGTTGGGCCTAGATTTTGTGTTCAGGCCTGGTCCAGGTGCAGCCTCTGTGTATATCTGCAGGGATAAGGCTGCAAACATCTGTCCCTCCCCAAACACTGCATTGAAAGGGAGTCCGGATCAGCTGCCAACAAAACACGTTCCAACCCTCTACCAACTGTATCTGCAGGGATAAGGCTGCATACATCTGTCCCTCCCCAGACATTGCATTGGCAGGGAGTCCGAATCACCTGCCAGCAAAACATGTCCCAACCCTCTTACCAACATAATCTCACACCGCACATCTCATACATGGCAAGTCCCACTTTTATGGTGGGTCCCAGTCTCAGTGAGATGTGTGGTGTTAGATTAAGTTGGTAGAGGGTTGGAATGAGTATTGTTGGCAGGTGATCTGGACTCCCTGCCAATGCAAGGTCTAGGGAGGGACAGATGTACCTTATCCCTACAGTCTGCAGATATACACAGAGGCTGCACCCAGACCAGGCCTGAACACAAAATCTAGGCCCAACCCTAGAAATTTGTTGCCCAGGTCGAGACAAGCATATAGGTGGGCTAGAAATGAATCGCCCCTAGTTAAGAATAGGGCCAGCCTCATGCACTGTGCTGCTCTGCGTAGCCCGGGTACAGCTGGGCCAGGGCCTACTATATATATATATATAAACGGTTGTTTCAAATCCTAGAAATGAAGAACCTGCAGGCCTCAAGCCCTGCACAATACTTCTTAAAATTGAAAATTAACTCAAATTTCAGGGGAACAAATTATTAGCAGGTCATGTCCTACTGACCCAGATGGTTGAACCGCTGACCCCTTAACCTGGAAGGAAAAGCAGTTCAACCCCCAGGGCAGGCTTTAAAACATTGTATCCAAGACAATAAAGATCAGGAATTGCATCTGGAAAATGTAGTTATTTTGAGTCAGCAATGAAAGAATAGTGGAACTGTATACATTTTTCAGTAGAAACTGTTTCTTACCTGCTGAAGTATCTGAAGCCCAACCCCAACAAACAATGCATGCTTGACTCCCGGCTCTAAAAGATCAGCCCACCTTGGCCCTTGTGCAGCAGTTTCAGATGGGTGAACCATTGCTGGTCCAACTGGATGCTGCTTCTTAAGATCCTTCGAGTAAAGAGCAGACTGGCTAACTAAAGCAGAAGCCTGGACGAATTCGCCTGTTGCAGGGATATCACCACCAGAAAGTGAAACAAGAGACCCACGTCGGGATCCAGGGACACCTTCCTCACGCAAGTAAATCCTCTTAAATTCTCCCTCCTTCTTTCCATCTTTACCTTCTCTCTCTGACCACTTCCATGCCAACTGCCAACCACCACCAATACCCATGCTACTCACTTGATCCCCTCCCTGCATGAGAACACTTTGGTTTCTCATGGTTAAAATACTACCATGAGAAATAGGTGGGACAAAGTCCTTCCCCTCCATGCCTGTTGGCTGACGTGAGAGCAGTGGGTTCTGCAAATTGTCATCAGAATCACCACCTGCAGCATCACATGTGTAATCCTCACCATCTCTCTGGAGACCCTCCACATCCCACTGTTCCTTACCCTGCTGTTCAACCACACTGAACATGCTACCAAAGTTGGGGAAGAGCATGCTGCGCATACTACCTGTATCAGGAAGCTTCTCATGGACACTGCCAAAGAGAGTGACTAGGGGATCCATGAGGGGCACATTCGGCTGGCCTTCAATGCTCCCATGTCGAGACACTATACCAAGAGTGCTCTGCCCAGTGATAGGTCTGGCAACCCATGAAACGCCCTCTTCAGGACCATATAACTTAATCTGGTCCTTCTCAGCTGTTGGATGTTGGTCGTCAGTGATCTCATCAGCTGGTCCTATAATGTACTCTTCTATAGACGTTTCACCCCCAACTCCAAGACCTTCAACTAGCAAGGCCATCTCACCTGTGGTTAAAAGGAGCTTCAGTATTCCCATGATAGAGAAGTTGTCAAGTTTTCATTAAGAAAAAGATGACTATGGCAGAACGCAAAAGCAATAAATATTTGTACCCAAAACAAGAGAAAATGCATCAGATTTCTAATTCATGCTAGGAGTATAGATTTGGGAAAAATACAAGAACTGAGGATCAGGATCAACCTGAGACATCTTCCCTGCCACGTAACCTTTGCAAAACACATTTTGCTTCAAGCATCTTTCCTTTACTTACAAGCCACCGTGGAGACTCAGGCAAGAAAAATATCGTTAATGCAAAGTATGCTACAGATGGAATAGAAAGAACCCCAAGCATCAACCTCCAGCTTGGTGAATCCCTAAGCGACATGCCAAAAACCATACAGTATGAAAAAAACATTCCACCAGAACCAGTGAACTGTGGAAGGGTATTCAGTAATCCCCTTATTTCTGGTGGGGCAGTTTCAGATATATAAACAGGAACAAGAGTGACTGCCAGACCAATTCCAAATCCATCTAAAAGCCTCGCCAAGAGTAGGACATAAACATTAGGAGACCATAACATTATTATACTACTGATAAAGTAGAGAACTGATGAGATTATCATCATTGGACGCCGACCAAGCCAATCCGATACAGGTCCAGAGAATGTTGTAATAAATGTGGCTCCAATGAGTGACATTGCTACAATTAAGCCTTCTATGGTTGGTTCACTTTCCAATTTGAATTCCCTCTTTATGTACAGAATAGAACCTGCAGAAATCACAAGTATTTTTTTCAACAAAAAAAAAAAATTCAATGTACATTGAAAGAAAATGCCGAGAGTAGCATGAAAGTAGTGTTGCATGGAAACAGATACAGAAGTCAGAGTCCACATATCTAGAAGTCTGACTTGGCAAAATGGTAAAGAAAAGGACTTGCAACCATGTCCAGTAAACAGTAAGCACTGTTACATAGTCTTTATCTTCTGTAAACAGTAAATACTGTTACATAGTCCTTATCTTCTGCACCATGACATCACATACCTATAGAAAGAAGAAAGATAAATCTAAAAGGCTCTATCTTTGTTGCATGGAAACGTTGTAGTCAATATTTACATTAGGCGTTAATTTGTTTCACTTAAGCAAAGAAATAAAGGGAAATGATGTGCAAAAGACTCATTCAAGAATCCATGGAATCCCAAAAATTCAATGCTGGTCCAACAAGGACACTTCTCCCATTAAAAGAGTCGGTGCAAACCCACAAAGCACTTTTAAATAACTAAAAAGTCCTTAAAAGACTCAAATACGTTTTAAGAATCCAATAATATATGGAAACAGGTCTTTTTCGTAGTCTCTAGTACTGCTTTTCTTCTTCACTGATTTTTTAAGGTGGAGTAGGAGACCAAAACCCCAGTTCCCAGTTCCCAATTTACATAGTATGCACTAACTTTAGATTTGAAGCACCAATTTCCAAACAGAAGAGCAATTTAAGGGACCGAGACTTTTACCTGCAATTGTTGCATTATCCCACCCCTGCAACAAATTGCCGATGGCAGCAGCTACGGCTACAAGCACAGCTCCCCTCATCTTCCCAATAATTGAACACAACTATTCACCAACTTAACCTGCAGGCGAGAAAGCCACATTAGAGACAATAGAAAGTGGAAACTTCCGTCGCGCATCAAGTTATAGAGAATCAATCATGGAGTCTCCTCCCCTGTCCAGACAATTGAGCCAATGGTCAACGTGTTGACAGAAAATCAGAAGTGGTCCATGGGCTCAGAACCAGAATACTACAAAAAAGTACTCTAGTAACAAGAGCTACAGATAAACAAAGCAGTAATAAACACCAGCAGATAATACATATATATACCTAAGAAAAATACACATACCTCAGAAAACTGCCTACACCGATATCACGCACCTAGGTACCTTCCGAGAAAAAAACAGTAGAGTCCTTCAGGGACAGTAAATTCGAACCAGAGACCCTGGAAATGCCATCTAAAAGACTCCAAGAATAAGATCAAAGGTATAGAATCGATGTCGTTGTATTCGTAGGGTCGATGCACACAGAAATCAATACGCCAAGCTGGCACTTTGACAGGATCCTCATATCCAGATAAAACTCTACTGAAAAAAATATCCTATTTGCGGAAGAAAAAAAGCCAAAACAAAATAAAAGCTGAAAATTTTCCCCTCACTCAAATATCCTATTTTGGATTTCTTATCCTCGCTTCAGTCACAAGTTGCGGTTAGAATACTTGTGTAAAGCTCGAAACAGCCAAGCACCACTAGGATCACCAATACTCGCTAGCTGTAGTGTGGATTCAGATTTATAAGGAACTTTCCTGCTAGAACACCGACTAAAAATCTTACGTTGAATGATAAAAATTCGAAGCAATCAGCGAAATAACTCCAGACGACAAGACTCTGTAACTACAAAGGAAATTTTAAAAAAGAAGAAAGAAAAACAATATAGCCAAAACTGAATGCGATCCCTAAGAATATCTCAATTCAAATTCAACAACTGCATAGCATAGGATCTTTGGACGTCCGTTTCCTTTTCTAGTACTAAGATGAAAGCAAAATCTCAAGTCTCCAACCGGCAGAGAATGCATAAAGAAACAAATGAAAAAACAAAGAAAAATCCGTATGCAGCATAAAGTTTCTGTGAAATGGAAGCAATAACAGATCTCGGAGAATGATCGGCCTGTAAGCGGTGCCAACCCAGTAAAAGAGAAGTTGAGGCTTCAACTGGAAATTGTTTATGAGATCAGAAGAATCGTAGAATTCCGAAACGCAAATACTTTAAACGACAGGAATATACGCAGAACCATTAAACAAGGAATAAAAGAAAAAGGAGTAAGGTAAGAGATGAAAAGAAAACGGAGTATGTAAAATGGAATATCAAACGAGAAAAGGCGAAGGATTTGAATGAATGTTGGGGGGCATTGAACGAGTATCTTTCAGAAACCCTAGTTCGTTCGCTTGTGTTGTTTTCATGGAGTGAATGAATGTACCTATCAAAGGCCAGCTAAGGAGGAGGAGCTCGGAAGAGAACGTCTTACCAGTTCCAATCCACGACCATGAGCTACGGACGAGGAATGTGCTTCTCTTAGTCTGTTTCCGTTGGTTTCTGCCCCCCCTTTTTATATGGAGTTTTGGAGAGACCAGACCAGAGACTTTTTTGTTTTTTATTGCCTTTTATAATTTTATTATTTATTAATTATTAAAAACTAAAAAATATATTATTAAATTTAATTCAATCAAATCAATAATATATTACATACGGAGTGGCGCGAGCAATGCGCTCCGCAGTATCAGCTGCTTGAACCAGTGAAGGCCTATATTTGATTACTTGTAAAGGTCATCATAGCCTCATAGGCTGGACCGCTGGACCGAACCGGACCTGCCAGTTATTTGATTACTTAAGTTATAAGTGACACAACCGGGGCCCAAACCTAGCCTGTTTAGGGCCTGAATTGATGTAGGCCCATATTTTTCTGACTGGACACTGGACTAGGTTGGGCTGGGGCAGGGGATGATGATCCTAACCTTTTTCTTAACCAAAAATGTCCCAAATCTTTGTTGCAACTTACAAAGTGAAAGAGTCATGTCCTCTGCACAAGTTGTTAGCTTAGATCAATGTTTTCAGCTCATGATTATTGGATTCGATTGCTGAATTGGTGGGAGTATCAAGTGGACCGGATTTGGTCCAATATGCATTCATTACAGATGGACCAGGTCCAATCCAATCTAATGAATACTTCATATCATTTTGAAGTAGTGCAATTCAATGTTTGGATTGTTTAAACTGTTCAAATATATTTTAATTTACATCGGTTCCAATCCATTGACACTTAGTATTCTTATCTTCTATTAATCGATCAAATATCGGTTCAATCCAATATAAATGCATTATGGATGGATTAGGTCTAATCCAATCCAATAAATACTTTGGACCATTAAATTTGGAATGGTCAAATTCAATATGTCTTATTGGTCCATCTAATCCGTCCAAATTGATTTTGGTTTAAATGGGTTTAACCCAAAACTAGTCCATTGACACTCCTACCTAGAACCGTTTGACTCGACCAATAGATCATTAGTTAGACCTTCTTTTTCCTTTTTTCTTGTTGGCTTATTCATATCCATTCCCATCATTGTTAACCATAAATTTCATTTATTGCACTTTAGCATGATAAATATATTATTTTTTTTATATTTCTATCTATTTTATATATTTAAAATATCATAAATAGGCATATTTGACCAAAAGGATTGAAGTTGAACCATTGGTGTATAAACCTAAAAGGAAAAATGGTTGGGTTTGAGGGGTGTCAAATTTTTAAAATATGGTCATCATTCTAGGGTTGTCTACAGTTTAATCGAACCATGAGCAAATTTTGCAAATCGAATTGGTACCACCAGTTTCAGTTTTTGACAGGTTTGGTTCTTCAATTTTTCGGTTTTTTATATTTATAATATATATAATATAAATATATGTATAATATTATATTATAAATAATAAAATGATATATAATATATTATAAATATTATAAAAATATATAATATATTTATAAATAGATTATTATAAATATAATATATATAATGAATATTAGATATAAAATATAAAAAATATGTGACATATTATAACCACCATTTTTTTTTTAATTAACCAAAAACTGAACCGATTCTTCCGTTGTTTCAAAAATATGAAATCAAAACTGAACCGATAAATACGATTGGCCACTTTTTTGGTTTGATTTATTCGGTTTTTCGATTTTTGATGGACACCCGCTACATCATCACCTGCCTGTCTGCCCTCCCTCTTATATAGTTGCCGGTCTTCTCTCCCTCTTGCATAGTTACGTGTTGAGGAGCTTATTCACATAAATAATAAATTAATGCATTATATAATGCACATATGTGAAGGTCACCATTGATTGAGTGTAATCTGATAGCGATAGTTAGTAAGTACCTGACAGACAACGCTATACAAAAGGCAGAGAACAAGTGTTTTGATGGTAATTAAAATATTGTACAACAAATCAACAATGGGCTTGACATTGATAGCTGGTGTGTCTACGTATGTGATGCTGCACGTAAATTGTCGTCAAACCAAAGGGACCAAGTACACACCAAAGCCGATCCTCATTCCTCCAGCCTCCAGCAACATTAATTGGGAAAAGCTGATCAACAGCTGTACTTAGGTGCTAGCCAGTGGAGAGTGGAGAGTGGGGACCACCATAACGCACCTAAACATCAGCTTATCTTCTTCTTTAATCTTTATACCTATAAATTATCAAACCTAAATTCTGAGCTGTGATACCACCCTTCGCAATCCATAGTTATACAATCTCACCTCCTGTCTCTATCCTCCGATCAAATCACGTGTATCAAACGCAACCATCACTGTTTTCCTGTTCGGCCCTTTATTAACATTACGACAAAACTCAAAACAGTTTTGTCCACCTTTTTGTTGTCCTGCCCCTGGGCCGTGGGATCTACCCAAATATTAGTAACTTTCCTTTTATAATAATATAATAAAGATAAATCTCTTAAACTATTTCTATTGTTTGCGAAATTTATTAAATATGTCGTTATTTGTCTAACGTTATTCCTGTTGTTTCGGAAAATTATCATTATTGTTAAAATATTAATAAAGGGCTGAAATATCCATTTTACCCTTAAATCAAATTCGAATCTCCTTATTCTTATGATCATGGGAGAGTCTCCCCGGTCGTCGCTACACAGGTGCATCGGGGGCATTGGCAAGGAGAGCCCGAACTCGGTTTTCCATCAGAGTTGAAGTCGAAGAACATGGTTTCCTTGGCAATGTCAATTGGCATCCAACCCATGGATGCAGCCTGCAACTGTGAGGGGATCTGTTGTGGCCATCGTAGATGAGTAATGGGTCCGAGCAGACCACTCTCTCAGAGCTTCTTGAAATATTCGTCTCCAATCTCCTCAACCTCTTCCCCACCGGAAGCCACCACGAAGCCTTCTCCTATTCATCAATAGACCAAAGATCTCTTCCTCCCGAGCGATGCTTTGGGTTTTTTGCTGACGGGATTGTTTTGGGGCTCGATGGTACAGCCGGCGGAAATGAAAAGCTTCTGTGAAGATGTTGGGCGAAGCCTTCCCACCCAGATGCTGCACTCGACATCTCCTTAAAATTCCCTTACTGGAATCTGGCGGAGTTCCCCCTTGCTGGAATCCGACAGCGCTCCAGTGTTCTCCGGTGTCGCTACCAGACCTCGGCTCTGAGGCACACTACCAGAACCAAAATACCACTGGCAGCGCTCCGGCGTTGGTGCTGAATATACAACACCGGCAGTTTTCTGGCATTCTCCGGCGTCGCTCCGGCCTCGTCTTCGTCCCCTTTCAACGGCCATGGTAACTCCACCGTCGAGAGAGGAGTTACCATCGCCGAGCGACACAAGGTCATCTCTCGAAATTGACAGTTCTCATGTTCTGTTTCTTGTTTTAAGAAATTATGCTTTACATGTTGAGACATTACTGTTGCAAGCCCCGAATCAGTACTCCACGAATTTGGGGACCCAAAGTCGTAAATTGAGCCAAATGTTGAGTCAGAACTCAGAAGTTGGTGTCGACCTAGGAGCCTAATCCCATCAAGCGGTACTACTGAAAGAAGGCCTATTTCCTATTTCCTAGAGGACAACTAGAAGCGGGTGTGGGTGCTGATGCTTTGGATTTCCATCTGTGCCAGCCTCTTCACATGGAAGTTCATCCGCCGTTGAGAGAGGAATTACCATCGCCGAGAACGAAGGGCAAGAAGGAGAGAGAGAAGGTGGAGGGGGCTATCACCGCTGATTAAGGACAGAGCTAGTTCGATTTGCCGCTGTTGAAAAGAAAAAGAGGGTCAAGCAAAATTGGTAGGGGTGCAAGTCGGATTGGCCCGAGTAAACAGTTTACACTGTTTCGGGCTTGGGTTTAGGGTTGGGCTTATTGAAATTTTGTTGACAAAATTTCAACCCTAACCCAGAAAAAGTGCACCCCTAAAAATTAGGTCTAAAAAAAAATATACATGACGTGTGACGGAATATTAATAAATGTTCACTATAAGAGTAGAATTAGTTAATTATTAGAAACGATAGGCGTAATACAGTAGGGTAGTTTAAGAGATTTACCCTAACAAATTTCTTAAAGTGCCCATAAGTTTTAGAAAATTGACTAATTCTATTCTTACTATTTATCTATTCTTAGGTTAGTGTCCGTTAGTACAATCACAATCGTTGACATGTGACGCCATATCATGTCTATAATTCTTTTAAAACCCAATATTATCCTTTTCATAATCAATTTTGCGCTCTTTTATTTTTCAAATTTTCTTCTTCACGGTTTCTCCCTTTCTGACCTTTAGGCTTTAGCTCGACAGGCACCTCCCTTCTTCTCCCCTTTCTGACCTTTAGCTCGACAGGCACCTGGACAAATCATCTTTGGCAACTTATAAATCTCCTTGGTTCTCCCTCTCTCTCCTTTCTTCTGAAGCTATTGTTCAATGCCCATGGCTTCTCCGGTCTTCGCTTTTGTAATACCCACCAAAACTACTACAAAACTGACACTCTTTCTCCCCATCGCATCTTCTCCAATCTTTGAGGCAGGCGGTTTCCTTTCCCGTTTCTCATCCAACCTTCCAATCATGATCGAGATTCCTTCTAAACGGAAATGGAGGGTGTTTAGGGCTCCAGTACTCAACCGGTAATCATGGTAACCAACGACAACGGGATTGATGCTCCCGGCTTAAGAGCTCTTGTTCAAGTCTTGGTCTCCACCAATCTCTATGAGGCTCTAGTCTGCGCACCTGATTCAGAAAAAGTCTGCATTTAATGACAGCATTACATGGCGTCATCACGGCTTATGTAGTTTCTGGAACACTAACTGATGGTGCGCAATTCGGCTGGTCCTAGCTGTTAACGACCTTGCCTCTGAATGGAGCTACAGGGAGCCTGAAACAGAGAAGATGAGAAAGCTCCGGGGGGAACCCGGTATGAATGTTCCGAAGCTCAAGTTAGAATTCTTAGTCAAGATAAAACCAGATGGCGCAAAGTTCACGTACCTTGTTCTTGGGGGTAGGGAGCCTTTTATAGCCACCTCGTGTACTCAC